TTCCAGCCCTAGTCCTTGTCCTTATTGATGCTCGAAAAAAAGACTTCGTTGATCGGCATTAGAACTTAATTAATCCTCAAAAAGGTCGAGGTCGATACAACCGTATGAGGTGGATAAGAGTGAATTCGAACCCCTTGGCCTTGCTAGAGAAAAACTGAAGCATGATCACCATACGCCAGAATGACGGATGAACCTGGCCGAAGGTAACCTGATATGTCTTGTAGAAGTTGATGATAACTAGGTCAAAAGGACCCAATGTGAAGGGGTAAGTGTACACACTTAGAAACCCCTCCACGTGAGTGGTAATGCTCTCTTCAGGAGCGTGGATCTGTACCACGACCTCAGTCCCCCAGTTATAGTCTTTCTTTACAGCCACGAGCTATTTCACCGTTATAGAGCATATATATCTTGTCACATTTTCACATCGGCCAGGGACTGGCGGAAGGTTCTCGACTTTGAAGTCGGATTTTAAGACAAAAGTGCCGAGAACGTACTCGTGAAGGAGTGGTTCCACCGGCATTTTGTCACTGTCCGTCTTGGAAGAAGAAGGAGAAGCTTTCTCCTTTTGTGGGACGGGTTTGAATGTTTTGCCATTGATTCAGATAGATTGAAGAGGAAAGAGGCAAAATTCGGTTTTGGTACTAACAAAATTAAGTCAACGGATGGTGAAAGAGAAGATATGGAAAGAGGAAAAGTTTTGATTCAAATAAGGAACTTGTATTTATAGATTCACGGTGGTGGTTCGGTGGCGCTAGTGGACAACCACCCACTAAAAATCATTAATGATTTGGGGAACTGTACCGACGGGACGTTTCGGTTGCCTAAACCTCTTATGTCACGCAGATGACTTCATTATCGGGGTCTCGAGAAAATTGATGCTCAAGTCATTTCTTATCATTTTACTCTAAGAAATGAGGGGTCTATATATATACGATGGAAATCGAGACTACCCGATTTAATCCTTCGATGGAGAAAAAGATACCATGTTGAAAGGCTAGGACGTCCAGTCCGGGATCAAAGTTTCTTTCCATGATCGAGGTCGACATCACTAATCGAGGTTAGAAGGGAGCATACTTCGAAATGATGCCGACATAACTTAGTAACGGAAAGGGTGAGATATCTGTAGGGTGCAACATTATCGTAACTTATTACTGCGAAGGGTAACATCATCATAATGTAATACTGTTGGGTGCAACACTGTCGTAACTTAATACTTCAAGGCATAACGTCATCGTAATATATTACTGCAGAGGGTAACATTGCTGTAATACTGCGGGGCATAGTAGTTGTTCCGAGTCCGAACTCTTTCAAAAGGATAGTTGCCTGCTCATCTAGATCGGACTCTTCCTTACGAGCCTGGGCCAAGTCTACTTGGAGGTACCTGATCTCTTCTTCTTTCTGCACATAGAGGCGTTTGAGGGTGTCTCTCTCATCAGTAAGCCTTTTAAGATCGGCCTCACACTGGTTTAGCTTGGCTTGGGATTTGTTGAACGCTTCCCGATGAAGTATCACAACCTATGGAGAACGGAAAGAAATCAGAATAGGAGGAAATGACAACCAACATAATAACGGGGGATGATGTTTACCTTGTTTAGGAGATGATGGGCCTCATAAAAAATGATTGACCCATCTAGGTTGGAAACATTATCAACCCCCGCAAGGGAGCGGCAGAATATGTTTTCCCCATGGTGGGTCATTCCCCCATCAGGGGCCTCCATAGATCGATCCTCCTGAAATTGCCCTTCAGAAAATGCAGGGCCGGACAACGAATCATCAATATTGATTGCCCCGAGAAAGTCACTTGGGGAGCTCTCTCCCTTTCAAAGAGCCCTAGAACCGGACCCTACAGGAAGACTCGCCGGTTTTCCATCACGGCAGGATATACCTTCGGCCTCTGATGACTCTAGACATTGCTCAGAGCACCTTCCGGGATCTCCTAGGTCTGAGGGTCAGCCTCCTCGACCATCACCAGCCCAACCTTTGTTGAAGCTTCGATGCTCCCCATCTTTCAAGGTACCAGCTCATAACCAACATCTTTCCCCTCGTCTTCTTCATCTCATAGCTTTTGGGTTGCGTCAGCTGATAGAGCGGCAGAGACATCCTTCGACTTACGAGCCTTACTCTTCTTTGCTTCAGGGCATCGAAAGGTGAGGCCCTTTTCATTTTCTTGTACTTAGCCGGTTTGGGATCCACCTCTTCCCTAGGAGGGGGCGACGCCACTTCAGTAATATCCCCGAGGCCTGCATAAAAAGGAGTCAAGTATAAGAAAAATGAAATGTTATAGAAAAAGGGCATCAAAAGCTTACATGATAAACTTACCATGATTTTTGGCTTCCTGTCTACACTTGCCAAATCATGCCAGCAGTGCTCAGCATGAGAGGAAGTCGAGGCCAACTTTCAAACCTAGTCTTCGATGTCGGGGACCACATGAGGCATCCAGGAAACCGCTGCATGACAGATGAAAGCATTAGATAAATCAAAAAATGGAGTTCAAAGACTAATGGGTAGTACATTACTTACGATTGAGGTTCCACTTTTCGGGGAACGGTAGTTTCTCCTCTAGGATGAGGTCGCAGGTCCTTACCCGCACGAACCAGCTCTTCCAGCCCCGGTCTTTGTCCTTATTGATGCTCGAAAAAAGACGTCGTTGATCGGCATTAGAGCTTAATTAATCCACAAAAAAGTCAAGGTCGATACAACCGTATGAGGTGGATAAGAGTGAATTCGAACCCCTTGGCCTTGCTAGAGAAAAAGTGAAGCATGATCACTATACACCAGAATGAGGGATGAACCTGGCCGAAGGTAACCTGATACATCTTGTAGAAGTTGATGATAACTGGGTCAAGAGGACCCAATGTGAAGGGGTAAGTGTAGACACTTAGAAACGTCTCCACGTGAGTGGTAATGCTCTCTTCAGGGGCGGGGATCTGTACCACGACCTCAGTCCCCCCCCCAGTTATCGTCTTTCTTCACATCCACAAGCTATTTCACCGTTATCGAGCATATATATCTTGTCACGTTTTCACATCGGCTAGGGACTGGCGGAGGGTTCTCGACTTTGAAGTCAGTTTTTAAGATAAAGGGCTAAGAACGTACACGTGAAGGAGTGGTTCTACCGGCATTTTTTAACCGGCCGGCCGGGGACAAGAAGAAGAAGCTTTCTCCTTTTGTGGGACGGTTTTGAATGTTTTTTCCATTGATTAAGATAGATTGAAGAGGAAAGAGGCAAAATTCGGTTTTGGCACTAACAAAATCGACTCAACGGATGGTGAAAGAGAAGATATGGATAGAGGAAAAGTTTTGATTCAAATAAGGAACCTGTATTTATAGATTCACGGTGGTGGTTTGGTGGCGCTAGTGGACAACCACCCACTAAAAATCATTAATGATTTGGGAACTGTACCGATGGGACGTTTCGGTTACCTTAACCTCTTATGTCACGCAGATGACTTCATTATCGAGGTCTCAAGAAAATTGAGGCTCAAGTCATTTCTTATCATTTTATTCTAAGAAATGAGGGGATTATCTATATACGGTGGAAATCGAGACTACCCGATTTCTTCCTTCGATGGAGAAAAAGATACCATGTTGAAAGGGTAGGACGTCCAGTCCGGGATCAAAGTTTCTTTCCAAGATCGAGGTCGACATCACTAATAGAAGTCAGAAGGGGGCATACTTCAAAATGATGCCACAATCCACAACCAGAAAGCAAAAAACATTTAAAACATGAGCAAAAAAGATAGAAAAATCCTTAATCCGGGTCACTGAAGGTACTAGACTGGTTTAGGAGACAAAAGCTAGAATTCCTAAGGCTTAGAGGAGGTAGAGGGTTGGTTTTGGGCTTGGAGAAGATTCAACATATTATGAAGAATTCCACCATTCTTCTACTTTTCTTTGGTAAGTTCAGTTCTGAGAGCATCCCTCTCAGATTCCACGTATGCCACACGATCCTCGAGCCTAGCTACCTCAGCATCCTTGGCTTCACATTCCTGAACAAGAGCCCTGACTTTACTGTTGATAGGAGTCTTCTTGGATGAACTAGGTCATTTGGGATGTCACTGACTAAGTAGTCATAAGCAATCAGAGTGTTAATGCCAAAATGATCCTTTCTTGAGGCCATTTCCCATTTCTTCAGAGGCACATTGCACCTATCCAGAATCGTAGTCAGAATAAAGCCATAGGGGGTAGCATGAGCCTTGGAGCCATTGATGACTCTGTCCAGCAGCTTGATGAAGGCAGGCCAATTAATTTTCCTTCCACTTTCCAGGCACTCCATAATAACTAGGTCCATATAGTTTTCAATATGCCTTCTCTCCTATCTGGGAAATAAGCACTTATTGACTAATTCAAACAAGACCTTGTGCTGAGGCATCATTTCACTTTTCTGAACAACCCTAGCCTAATTCACATCTTCAGCATCACAGAACCTCCTGGTAATGTCAAGGGTAGTAGGAAGGGAGTCCATACAAGGCCACCTTTACCTTGTATAGTCATCAAACCCTTCAGAGGGTATATCAAGGATCTCTCCCAGTTTTTCTGCATCAAAGGACACTTGAACTCCTTTCACCAGGTTGATAACATTGCCATCCTTAACCTCTGCATTTCCCATGAACTCAATGATCTCATTCCTGGCTAGCCTACCATCCATCTAAAGGACCATGTCCTTCCACCCATAAGCAGCTAAGGCATCCACTAGTTTCATCATTCCTGGTTCCACCAGGTCTTTCAGCTCTCTACCCTTCAAAATTTTTCTTTTGCCAAACATGGCAAGCTTGTCTTGTTTACCATCAGAATCATCTTCTACTTCTTTTCTCCACTCCATTCCTCATCTTTAGAAATTCTTACTTGTTTACTTTTCACTGCAGACCTTGTCCTCTTGGCTAATGAAGGCTTTTTGGCCTTGGGGTCTGAACCTCCACTGTTTGAACTTCCTCCAGATGGACATGTTCCATCTATTCAACCTCCATAGCCTCTGAGGACTCTGCAACCTTCCCTTTTATTTAAGCCAACTTTTTTTTCTTACTCTCAGCTAAAGCCTTTTGGAGATCACTCTTACTCTGCTTCACCCTGCTTCTTGTAGCTCTTCCCTTTGGCAATGAAATTTCAATCTTTGTTGTGGATGAAACCTTTCTTTTCTTGGAGGGTTTAGGAGCACTGGGGGCTTTTGGTGTAGGAGTTCATCATTTCTTTGGATCATAACTTACCACAACCTTTTTCAACAGGTCTGCTAGGGTTACTTCAGTAGATGAACCAGGTTCATCTCCTTGTGTGCTTAGATTAAGTAACCCTTCAGCAGCTTCACTAGAACTACTTCCCCTTGACTTCTTGCCACTCTCTTCTACCTTTTATTATTCAACCCCACGGATAGCAGGCACGGACAAATTAGTAGTGGGTGAATGATCAACAACTCTTTTCCCATTTCCCCTCTCTTCACCACATGCACCCTCTCTCTCTCTCTCTCTTTGTTTTTCAGGTTTCTTTTTACCTCCACTCCTTCGTAACTCAGGTAATTCTACATCCCTGATAGGCCCAACTAGAACAAACTTAGTTTCTAGATTTTCAGACAAAGAAGAACTTACCTTAGAAGGGGATTCTTGAGTCTTTTCAGAGTTAGAAGACCCAGGTCCTTCCTCCTCACTAGCGGATTTATATGACTCAGAATCAGAGTTGGAGTCAGAGTCTTGGACCTCACTTGGCTTTAATATCTCATTTAATTTCTTTTTGAGAGCTCCAGACGCTACTGTTTTCCGAGCAAGCATTTTCACCCTTCTCAGCCTGGGTTTGGGAGATGTACTAGGTGGAGGAGGTGTAGATGAATTATAGGGAGTGGGTGGTGGAGGAGTTCCAGGATTGTCTTGTGGGTTGGTCATGATCGCTGGTTTCTTGAGAGAATTTGTGAGTTAGAATTTTGGAGAAGAAGGCAAGTGAAAGTGAAGAGGGATTTTTGACGGTTTAGAATTATGGAGATGGAAGAAGGTAATGATGTATATTTAAAGAGAAATACACATTTAACGTATAACGGTAGCTTTAGCAGTGGTCAATTAGAGGTTAATCAACCTGAAATTGCAGGCTTGAATGATCGGTTAAGCTTCCCTAGATTTTAGACAATTTTTGTGGTTTAAAGTTCTAAGGCTGACGGAACTGGTTCAAAGCTAACAAATAGAATTTTGTAAGGAATTGAACAATTGTAGGACTTCTGCTCATGATTTAAATATTTTTATTTCTAGTTGTGCAGAGTATAGAAAACATACCTTAGCTTTCAGATGAACTCATAATGATGAACCAGGTTCTTCATTTAGAATACTCTTGAACATGCCTCAATTTACCATAATAGAGAAAATTTTGTAAGAGATCAGTGAGTCATATTAACACATGTCACAGGAGTATACTAATTATAGTATGAAGCTGAGTAAGAATTAATCTAGATATTTACACAAGTTCAGATTTTCTAGCTAAAAATAATTTTTTTCATTTTTTTTCAATTTTTTTCATTGTGCATTCTGAGATGGTCCTATTAGGTGATCTTAATCATCCCTAATTCCAACCTTTTCCTCTCAAAGTTTTCTCTACTCAGTGCTTTAGTGAAGATGTCAGCAATTTGTTTATCAGTAGTACAGAATTCTATGGAGATCAATCATTTCTCATAGTTATCTCTTAAGAAATGGTGTCTAACATCTATGTGCTTAGTCCACTTATGATGAACAAGGTTCTTTGTCATACTTATATCACTAGTGTTATTATAGAAGATGGGAATGCAACCAACTTCAATGCCAAAATCTACCAGCTGCTGTTTGATCCTTAACAATTAAGCACAACAAGAGGCAACAACAACATATTTAGCCTCAACAGTGGATAATGCCACTGAATTTTGCTTTTTAGTGGCACATGATACAAGACATGAACCAAGCAAATGAGCCATACATAAGGTGCTTTTTCTATCCACAAGGAAACCTGCATAATCAGCATCAACATACCCTACTAGATTGAAATTACTACCTTTAGGGTACCAAAGACACAGATCAGTAGTGCCTTTCAAATATCTTAGTATCCTCTTGACAACATCAAGTGAGATTCCTTTGGATTAGCCTAAAAGAGAGCACAAAGCCCTAGACTGAAAACTATGTCAGGTCTGCCGGTAGTAAGATACAAAAGTGAACCAATCATACCCCTATACAACTTCTGATCAACAGATGAACCAGGTTCATCCATGTCTAATTTAGTGGCAGTTGCAATGGGGGTGTCTATTTCCTTTGATTTATCCATTTTAAACTTTTTGATCAGCTCCTTTGCATATTTCTGCTAATGGATCATTGTTCCACTTGGGCTTTGTTTGATCTATAAGCCTAAGAAAAAGTTAAGCTCACCCATCATACTCATTTCAACCTCATTCCCCATTAATTTGGCAAAATCCTTACTTAGTTTGTCAGTGGTTGCCCCAAAAATTATGTCACCAACATATATTTGTAACATAAGAAAATCCTTACCTTTTTCCCTCAAGAATAGAGTACTGTCAATTTTATCTCTTTTGCAGGCATGATCAAGCAGGAATTTGGACAATCGATCATACCATGCTCTAGGAGCCTGCTTGAGTCCATAGAGAGCCTTGTCTAATTTGTACACATGCTCAGGACATTCCTTGCTCTCAAACCATGGAGGTTGTTTAACAAACACTTCTTCTTTTAGGTAGCCATTCAGAAAGGCTCTTTTGACATCCATCTGATTAAGAGTGAATTCCATATGTGCTGCAAAGGCTATGAGGAGTCTTATTGCCTCTAGTCTTGCAATTGGAGCAAAAGTCTCATCATAATCTATACCCTCCTTTTGGCTGTAACCTTGGACCACCAGTGTTGTCTTGTTTCTTGTAACTGTTCCATCTTTATCAAGTTTGTTCCTGACGACCCATTTTGTGCTAATTACTGATCTGTCCTTGGGTCCTGGAACTAGATGCCAAACTTGACTTCTCTCGAACTGATTGAGTTCATCTTGTATTGCATTTACCCAATCTGCATCCTGCAAAGCCTCGACAACATTTTTAGGTTTAATAAGAGATAGGAAAGCATCAAAAGCACACTGATTCTTTAATTGTGATCTAGTTTTGACTCCAGAGGTTGGATCAGTAATTATGTTCTCAATAGGATGAGAACTTTGATACTTGTGTGGTTTCACAACAAACTGATTTTTGCTTGATGTTTCTCCCATGTTCTGTTGCTGAGGAACATGGTCATGAACAGGTTCCTTTAGGGGATTGGTTTCAATTCCTCTTTGATTAGTTTCCCCTATCAGGTTGCCTTGGATGGAAGAACCTGTTCCATCACTTGTTCCTTCTTTTGGTTCCACTTTAGCTTGAGCTGAGACTTTACTCAAATCTTTTACCAGCCCAATAGCTTCATGTTCATGTTTCTGTCTCTCAGAAAGAATGTTAGTTTCATCAAACACTACATGTACACTTTCTTCTACACACAAAGTTCTTTTATTGAACATTTTATATGCTTTTCTATGTGAAGAATATCCCAAGAATACTCCCTCATCACTTATGGGATCAAACTTACCTAGGGAGTCATTTCCATTATTGTGCACAAAGCACTTGCATCCAAATGCCCTAAGATGGGATATATTTGGTTTTCTCCCTTTAAGTAACTCATAGGGAGTCTTCTCTACAAGTGGTCTAGTCATGCATCTATTGATGATATAACATGCAGTGTTTACAGCCTCTACCCAGAAGCTGTGGGACAGTTTACTAGAAAGAAGCATAGTCCTAGCCATATCTTCAAGAGTCCTATTCTTTTTTTCAACTACTCCATTTTGTTAAGGAGTCCTAGGGGAAGAGAAGTTATGATCTATACCATGCTCATCACAAAATTAAGCAAACTTAGCATTTTCATATTCAGTTCCATGATCAGACCTGATGGATGCAAGTTGATTAGCTAGTTGTTTCTGAGTCTTTCTACAAAGGCAGTAAACATGTCAAATGCTTTATCCTTAGATGTTAAGAATAATACCCAGGCAATCCTAGAATAATCATCAACAAGTACCATCACATATTTCTTACCACCTCTGCTTAGTGTACTCATTGGACCACAGAGATCCATATGAACCAGTTCTAACATCCTGGTTGTGCTTATCATTTTCTTGCTTTTAAAGGATGATCTTACTTGCTTCCCTCTTGCACAAGCCTCACAAACATTGTCTTCCTTGAACTTGATGTTAGGTAACCCTATCACCATGTCCTGGGAGACTAATTTGTTGAGTGGATTCAGACTTGCATGACCAAGTCTTTTGTGCCACAGGAGGGGATCATTGTCCAACACACTCAAGCAAGTAAGTTCATTTTCTGAAAGAGTAGACAAATCTACAATGTAAATTATTTACCGTGAAAATGGTAACAATAATCAAATTTGTGAATGGGATTCTAAAAATACGTGATCTATTCTCGAGCTAGTTGTTAGAGCAGTTGATGCTAAGAATGTGAAGTTTAAAGATGAAATGCAAGCTAAAAGGGGGTAGTAATCAAACCGAGGGGCTTGTTGTCCAAAAGTAGGATTGGTCGATGGAGGACCTTAGGGTCGATATTCGGGTCAAGCTCAAGCTATCGAGGTCAATCGGGAATGGGATAACAATTAAGATATGATTAAATAAAGCTCTTTATGGCCAATATAAAGCGATAAGATGAAGAACAAGTAAGAAGGTATTAAATTCTAAATGGCCTCGAGCCAGTGAGGGCAAGGGTGATAGAGAGGAGAAAGAGAGAGAAGATATTATTGCACTTGAGTAGAATAGTTGGAGCTCTACCTTTACAGGGTGTTAATGACTCCCCTTTTATAGAAAAGGGGAGCCCAAACTCAGTACAAGATACGTTGCGTGATAAAAGAAATGAGATGTGACAACCGGCTAGCTTTATGACGTATGCATGGGCTGATGTCGAGCCGCTTGAATAGACCTGATCGACCCCGAGTACATTTCTCGGGAGATTCCTACGTTCGTCAGGACTTCGGTCGATATTATCCTTGGCAGGGCACCAGCCGATCTTGAGGCAAGTGACTGGCTCAAGATCTCGGGCTTCCTGGATCACCCTTCGTAGTATTTTGTCAAGGAGAAATCGGCCTCCTATATTTCACCTCACACAGATAGTCTCCACATTTCTTAGAGGGAAGTGATAAGAAATGATTTTGACACCCCACTTCTTGGTCTCCCATGACGACGTCGTGCTGACGGTGCAACCCCCCCTTTACAAGTGTCGAGATGCTTTGCCTTTCCGCTTCTCCAGGATCACCCGAAATGTTGCGACTCTTCATTCTTAGAAATTATGTCATTGCTATCAGTTCAGCTTCTATGAACGTATTGATTGCGCCTACAGTTAAACTTTTCGAGGGCGGTAATGGTGCCGTCGGTTACTCTACCCTCCCTATAAATGGGGCTTTTTTTGTGGTTGGCTTTTTATTCGAACTTCCTTTGATACCCATCTTTTCTTCCTTTCCTGCTATCTTGTGTTTCTGTCATCTCGTCATGTTTGAGGCCCGCAACCTCAAGATATTATGTCATGTGCACCTTAACCCAACTCTCGATCCCTTTTTGGTTGAGCAAAGTTGTATTGCTACGATGTTGTTGTTGTTGTTGTTGTTGTTGTTGCAGTCGTCGTTGGCCCGAGGTGATGAGGCAGAGGGCCGATTTCCTCCGACCTTGGGGGATACTTTAGATTATGCACCGCTGCTCGAGAGGGGGCTCGGGTTATACATCGCTACTCACCCTCCTCCTTTGGCTCGACGTGTTACATCTGTTTTAGATTCCTGGGGAGTGTGGTGGCGGTCTCTACTGGCTATTCCCTTACGTGCCGAGGCAACGTCTCAAGAAGTGGCTTCAAAATGGCAGTACT